AACACAACACACACACACACACACGCACAACTAACACACACATAACTAACCTAAAAGATTCTGTATATGACAGATAGCACTAAGAACTGTATAGCGCCTCTGTCCCAAAATCCCGGAACTAATCTGTAGCTCTTTTTTACCTTATTCTTTCGCATTTTGCAAAAGAATAATGCTTCCTTAGCATATTGCACACATGCTTTACATAAATCTGGAAAAGGGTGGCGTTTTGAAAATAAGTCTCTAAGCTCTATTTTTTTGGTTTTCCATTATTGTTTCATACGCTCTTCTTCGGCACATGGTCTTGTTTTGCAGATTGAAGCAGTATAATGTTGATATAAAAGATATAATTCTTTGAGGTGACATTGTCGGTAAATTTTCAAAAATTTTTTTAATTTTTTGGTTTAAATTTGACCAACTGCCGAAAGATTAGCATATGTACTTTATTTACACAAAAGGATTTGTAATTCTATTAAAGCAATAAAAAACGCCACCCTTTTTAGAAAATTGAAGTTTCGGTCGGTAACAATATGACTTCAGTATCCTCTTAACATCTGATGAAGTAAAAATGAAGTTTTGAAGAAGGTAATTATTTTATTTAGGGTCACTTTTCCCAATATCCGTTAACCGACAGTTTTAAATTGTTAATAGAATTACTAATATGCAGAATAAAATATTGTCATTAAAAGTAATAAAAATTTGAAATTTTTTTCTTTTTTAATAACGATTTTATTCATATTGGCAATTTTATCGACAAGTTGGAACTTTCGGTTACAGTTAATTGATGTTGGAAATAGTGGTCCTTAATAATACAATAATTTTCTTAGTTAATCTCTTTTAGTAATTTTTCTTACAAATGTTATTAATATCTCTTATCTAATTACAAATATTAAAAATCAATTTATTGCTATTTTAACATATTAATTATGTAAAAAATTATTTATAATATTCAAAATAATATTTAAAAGTATAATAGAAATAAAAAAATTGTTTCTTATTTTTAGATTTAAATTTTGCAACACAAAAACTTAAGGGGGGAGGCCTCGTGTAACTGGTTAAAAAAATTGAAAAATTTTTTTTGCTTTAATCAATAGTAATCCATGTAGAAAATATATTCCCAAAGTTACAGAACAAAATTCGAAGTTTTAAGGAGTCCACAGCCCATTTCTTGCGCGCAGATATACAAGCGCGCGGCGGGGCGCTTGGTCAACGGTAACATAAGATATAAGATTATAGAATTTGTAACTGTTTTTGGCGCGTTTTCGGAAGTACTTATTTAAGAGTGCAATTTGGAGAGTGCAAGCAAAGTGTGAAATTTGAAGAAGCAGGAAATCGGAGCCTCAGTTTTAAACTTGTTGTTACACTTTTCTTTTTTACTTTTCAATACCGAAAACTTTAAACGCGTTTTTCTCAAAACCAGTTTTGGCAATTGGCGGGAAAGATTACTCAAAAACTATTCGATCAATCGAGTTGTCTCTGTGTATACATGTAGTTTAATAATATAAATTGTCGATGAAC